CATAGCATTCATAAAAGTGGGCATCCTTGTCTTGTTCCAGATCTTAGTGGGAATGCCCCCAGCTTTTCTCCATTCAATATAATACTTGCTTTGTGTTAGTCACATATTTCTTTGCTTGTGTTGAGGAATGTTTTTTCTTTTTCTTTTTTTAAAAATTTATTTGACAGGTAAAGTTATAGAGAGTGATAGAGAGAGTCAGAGAGAAAGGTCTTCCTTTTCCATTGGTTCACCCCCAAACTGGCCGCTACAGCCAGCACACTGCACTGATCCAAAGCCAGGAGCCAGGTGCTTCTTCATGGTCTCCCATGCAGGTGCAGGGGCCCAAGAATTGGACCATCCTCCACTGCCCTCCTGGGCCACAGCAGAGAGCTGGACTAGAAGAGAAGCAACCGGGACCAGAACCTAGCACCCATATGGGATGCCTGGTCCACAGGCAGAGAATTAACCAAGTGACCCATGGCACTGGCCCCTGGAATGTTTTTTTCTATACCCAGTTTGCTTAAGATTATTATCATGAAAGTATGTTGGAGTTTTATCAAGTACCTTCTCTGAATCAATTGAGATAGTCATATAGTTTTTAATCTTCAATTTGTTAATGTGATGTATCACATTTATTTATTTGTTATGTTGAACCATCCTTGCATACCACCAATAAATCCCAAAAGATCTAGGTGAATAATATTTCTGATACATTGTTTAATTTGATTAGCTAGCATCTTATTATGAATTTTTGCCTCTGATATCATCAGAGATATTGGTTTATTGTACTTTTTCTTTGAGTACACTTTCCTGGTTTTGAAATTAAGGTGAGTCTGGTTTCATAGAAGAGGCTCAATTTGGGAGGATAGCCTGCCTTTCAATTGTTTTGAATTGTTTGAAAGTAACATGACTTAGTTATTCTTTAAAAGTTTGATGGAAATCAGCGATGAAGCTATCAGGTCCTGGGCTTTTCTTTTCTGGGAGAGTCTTTATTACTGATTCAATCTCTGACTTGGTTATTGTCTATTTAGGTTTTTTACATCTTTCTGCATCAATTTTGGTTGACTGTGTCCATTAATGTTTCCATTTCTTCTAGATTTTCCTATTTGTAAGGCTGTTTGTAGTAATTTCTGGGATTCTTTTTATTTCTGCAGTATCTCTTGTAGCATATCACTTTTTTAAAGATTTTTTTTATTTATTTGCAACAGTTACACAGAGAGAGGAGAGGCACAGAGATAGAGAGAGGTCCTCCATCAGATCGTTCACTCCCCAATTGTCTGCAACAGCCAGAGCTGTGCCGATCCAAAGCCAGGAGCCAGGAGCTTCCTTTGGGTCTCCCATGCAGTTGCAGGGGCCCAATCACATGGGCCATTTTCCACTACTTTCCCAGGCCACAGCACAGAGCTGGATTGGAAGTGAAGTAGCCGGGATCAAACCAGCTTCCATATGGGATGCTGGTGCTTCAAACCAGGGTATTAACTTGCTGTGATACAGCATCGGCCCCAGCATATACTTTTTCATCTCTGATTTTTTTTGACAGGCAGAGTTAGACAGTGAGAGAGAGAGACAGAGAGAAAGGTCTTCCCTCCATTGGTTCATTCCCCAAATGACCACTACGGCCAGCATGCTGCACCAATCCGAAACCAGGAACCAGGTGCTTCCTCCTGGTCTCCCATGCAGGTGCAGGGCCCAAGCACTTGGGCCATCCTCCACTGCCTTCCCAGGCCACAGCAGAGAGCTGGACTGGAAGAGGAGCAACCGGGACAGAATCTGCCACCCCAACTGGGACTAGAACCTGGGGTGCCAGTGCCGCAGGCAGAGGATTAACCTAGTAAGCCACGTCACTGGCTTCATCTCTGATTTTATTATTTTGGATTTTATCTCTTTATGGCTAGTTGGGCCATTGGTGCATCAATTTTATTTTTTCAAAAATTCAACTTTTCATTTCAGAGATCATTTGTATCTATTTTTGGTTTGGGGGTTTAAAATTTGTTTATTTCTTCCCTAATTTTCATTATTTTTTTCATACTACTAATTTCATGTTTGTTTTATTCTTGTTTTTTCAGGTCATTGAGATGCATTTTTCAATCACTTATTTGATGCTTGTCTGATTTTTCAGGGTAGCACTAATTTCTACAAACTTCTCTCATACTTCCACTTTTGTGTACTAAATTTTGAAGTGTTGTCATCTTCACCCATTTCAATGAATTTTTTTCATTTTTTATTTCTTTTATGACCCACTCTTCATTCAGGAGCATGTTTTTTTAGACTTTACTTGTTTGCATATTTTCTATAGTTTTTTTTATATTGTTAATTCCAGCTTCATCCCATTGGGTTCAGAAAAGATACATGGTATGATCTCAGTTTTTTTAATTTGTTGAGACTTGTTTTATGGGCTAGCATATGGTCTACTTTTGAGAAAGTTCCATTCACTGATGAAAAGAATATGTATTCTGCAGCTATTTTATGAAATGTCCTGTAGATATCAATTAGGACTATTTGATCCACAAATTAGATTAGTGCTGTTGTTTCTTTGTTGATTTTTTTTTCAGTAGATCTGTTCATTGATGAAAGTGCAATGTTAAAATCACCTAATATTATTGTACTGATGTCTATGTCTCTTTTTAGACCCTTAATATTTGTTTTAAATTGCCAGGCACCATGGTATCGGTGATATATATTTACTGCAGGCACATCTTCCTTTTCAATTGGTCCGTTAATAATTGCACAAAGCCCTTCTTTGTTTCTTTTAACAATTTTTCTGTTTAATATAATAATAATAATAATAAATTTAATAATAATAATAATAATAAACATTATTAATTTAATAATGTTTCTGTGTGATATTACAATTGCTGTTCCTGCTTGTTTTACTTTCTGATATCATGAAGACCTTTAATCTTTCACTTTCAATCTGAGTATCTTTGTGGTGATGTGTGTTTCTTGTACATAACAAATAGCTGAGTTTTCTTTGATATGTATCTGAATTCCCACTGACCTGTATCTTTTAATTGGATAATTTAGGCTACTTACATTCAAAGTTATAATTTATAAGTAATGACCAGGTCTTACCATTTTTCCATAAATATTTCTATTATTTGCTTTGGAATTCCAAGTCTCCGCCTGCAGTGTTGGCATCCCATATGGGTGCAGGTCGAGTCTCAGATGCTCCATTTCTGATCCAGCTCTCTGTTATGTCCTGGGAAATCAGTGGAAGATGGCCCAAGTCCTTGGGCCCCTGCACCCATGTAGGAGACCCGGAAGAAGCTCCTGGCTCCTGGCTTCAGATCAGCACATCTGTGGCCGTTGAAGCCAACCTGGGATTGAACCACTGCATGGAAGGCCTCCCTCTCTCTGCCTCTCATTCTCTCTCTGAGTAACTCTGACTTGCAAATAAATAAATAAATCTTTAAGAAAAAAAAAAAAGAAGACTTGGACTACGTCTCTCCATTCTCTCCTACCCTGTAGGGTTTCATGAGAAATCATCTGCCAGTCTAATTGTACATCTTTTGAAGGTAATCTGGCATGTTTTGTACACACTTTAGGATCTTAATGTTTTACTTTTGAAGGTTTGACTATAATGTGTCTTAGTAACATCTTTTATGATCCTGTCAGGAGTTTTATGTGCTTCGTGTAATTGCTGTCAATATTTTTTTTCCAAATTAGGGACATTTTCTGCTATTATTTCACTGAATAGTTTTTATAGTCCATTCTCTGTTCCCATATCTTCACGAAGCCCTCAGAATCTATGTTAGGTCATTTGATAGTGTCCCATAATTCTCATATACTATTTTCAATGTTTCTATTTTGTCTTAGATATTTCAAAAAATTTGTCTTCTATTTCTTTCTTCTGCCCTATAAAGTATGTTGTTAAGGGTTTCTACTGTATTTTTATTTGACATATTGAATTCTCATTTCTAATAATTCAGTTTGATTTCCTGTCAACCTCTCTATCTTCTGACAAAGTTTTTCAGCTATGTCATGTATGAATGCCTTTAACTCATGCATTTCCTTCTCTGTGTTTTTGAGTAATCTTATGGCCAATTTTTGAATTCTTTTTCAGGCAATTTATCAATCCTTTGTCTTCAGATTTTATGACTGATGCATTGTGGTATTCCTTATGAGGAGTCAGATTGTCTTCCTTGTTCATGTTTCTTGTATTTCTACATTTATCTGTAGGCATTTGTGGAAACACTTATTGGTTTTCTACTCTGCTGGCTTTTATCTTTGAAATATGCTCTGTGGTTTAGTGTGGTGTCTTTTCCTTGAGTGGGTATCCAGAGGCATGTGCTGGGTGGCACCTTAGAGTTCCAGTCAGTGCTCAATTGTAGGGCAGGAATCCAGGATGATAGCCAAGCTGGGTATGGTAGATCTCCTCTATTTTTTGAAGGGAGTAGAGTATGATCATATCACCTGACATGATCATAGCTTCAACTCATCTTTACCAAGATGATCAATGCCCAAGATGAGCCAATACTAGATACACAACCCCACCCCATAGGTGCATGGACCACACCAAGTATCTGTGATGTCCTCAGTATAAGCCTGCGGCCCTGTGCAGTGACCCACCCCAAACATTCAGGCAACTATGAGCCTCTGAATCCAGACACACTGATTGCCCAGAGACTCAGCTAACCTCATACCTTACCATACAGTCACAGAGTTCCCCCACTCATAGAGCACAGGGCTCCTATGGTTATGGGGAACAGTGGCTTCACTGAGCCTTATGATCCTGCCCCATTCACATAGAGAGCAAAGGCATTTCCATAACCACTGATTTTCAGTGCTGCATCTTGGAAGTTTATATCTGGGTGCCCATGATAGAGTGAAGCAAGGGGAATACCTCCTAGGTTGCCTGCCCTCTGCCAATCCACCAGGCCAGACTCAAAGTCAATGGGAACCTTGGATTTATCTCTGTGATAAAATTATTTGGTCACATGCATCTGAGCTGCTGCAGCCTCTACTCACCTTATTAAGGTAGCACACACCCTCCCCCCAACTAGTTGCAAGGCACCCTTGTTCTGAAATGAGAAGAGGGCAGTATGCTCTCCTTTAATGGGATAAGGTGGGAACTTATATACTCTCCACAAGAATTACAAACCCAAACCCAAGTCAGTGTGTCCACAAAGTTCTCAATCAGGCAATATCACCAGTGACATGGGTTGGCACAGACTTTTCTCACCTTGTCCCAAGAAGATGGCTTCTCCTCCAGCCTCTAACTTGTGGAAGTTGGCGGTGGTGTCACTGCTCACTGCTCCATGTTTGTAGTGCCCACACTACTTCATAGAGACTCCCTTCTTTCTGTAGAATTTCCACTGAAAACTCTCCATCACAGCCCTGGAATATAATTATTTTGCTTCACTTCTGTTATCCTGTGGTCAAACTAAACACATCTTTTCCTTATTCACCTATCTTGGAACTCCATTCTGCTGTATTAACCTCAGAAATGATCTCAAATGGATTACACAAGAAAATATTCTATGAATGAGTCCCAAATTTTCGTCAGGCACTCTTATTGCTAAGTATTACTTACCTCACTGAATTTTCACTAACACTCTGAGACAAGTTGTCTTTGTCCTATGATCACTGATGCAGAAGGTAGATATTGGAAAGAGATATTATAGAAGCACCCAGGATGTCAGTGACAGAACTGAAATTTGAATACAGGTATACCTGATGTTGAAGTCTAGATTCTTACCAATAATATGTAGTTCATGTGTTTAATGGTCTTTTACTTTTATTCTGGTGCACTTTGAATAATTCCAAAGCGATTGTCTACCCACTACCTATATTATCTCACTGAATCCTCTAAACACTGAAGTAAAGTCCAATTGTTGAGTGAACAGGATAAATCTATATGAGTCAATTATTTGTTTAAAGTGAAGTATTCACATGATAAAGAACATAGATATTCAGAAAATAACATAAATATTTAAAGTGAATTAATTGATGAAAGATCCATGGGGATGATGTTTAGGTTTTGCATTTTATATACAATTTTAAAATATTTATTCTATTTATTTAAAAGGCAGAGTTACAGCCAGTGAGGAAGATACACATACACACACACAAAAGCAAACACACACACACACACACACACACACATCTTCCACCTGCTGGTTCATTCCCCAAATGTCTGCAATAGCAGTGGAGCAGCAGGGATTCAAATCTGTGCCCATGTGCATTGTCAGCACTGCAGATGGTGGCTTAACCCATTGTGCCACAATCCTAGCTCTTATAAGCAATTTAAAAAGGGATTATTGTTATATGCCTATCTATAAAGCAGCTACTATTAGAATGGTATTTTAATATTTCATTTTAACATAAGAGTAACATAAACATATTAGTGGAGAATTGGAAAATAGAAAAGACAACAGGAACCACATATAATTTCTCTACTTGAGTTCATGTAAGGTACTCATTTGGATATAGGATCAAAAGCAAGTTTACACACATTTTTAAGACATATTATCTTGGCCGGTGCTGTGGCTCAATAGGCTAATCCTCCGCCTTGCAGCACCAGCACACTGAGTTCTAGTCCTGGTCGGGGCACCAGATTCTGTCCCGGTTGCCCCTCTTCCAGGCCAGCTCTCTGCTATGGCCCGGGAGTGCAGTGGAGGATGGCCCAAGTCCTTGGGCCCTGCACCCGCATGGGAGACCAGGAAAAGCACCTGGCTCCTGGCTCTGGATCAGCGCGATGCGCTGGCCACGGCGGCCATTGGAGGGTGAACCAATGGCAAAGGAAGACCTTTCTCTCTGTCTCTCTCACTGTCCACTCTGCCTGTCAAAAAAAAGATATTTTATCTCACTTTCCTTTAAAAAACATGAATTTTACTTTATTTCCTTTAGCAGATATACAAATAAAGTTGTATAGAAGCTGATAATCTATTCAAAGTTGCACTTGTAGAAGCTGTAGAACTACTAACAGGATAAAAATATCCCATGTCTTCAGAGAATATATGATTTTCCATTGTACTTTTATGTTGGCTACATATATCATCTGTGAAATTTTTATAAGAACTCTAAGTTTCCTAAACATACACATATCTGGTATTTCAAAGAGTGACTTAGATACTCAATAAGTGACACGTTTAAACAGAGGGGGAATGAGATTGGCAATGGTTATGATGAAATTTCATATCTAAAACCACTTAAAAGATTTTCTAGTGATATAATGTACACCCTCAAATTAAAATTTATGGGCCGGCACCATGGATCACCAGGCTAATCCTCTGGCTGTGGCACCGGTACAGTTTATGGATTACAATGGCTTTCTCCTCCCCATAATTACCCTCCCACTCGCACCACTCCCATCTCCTGCTCCCTCTCCCATTCCGTTCACATCAAGATTCATTTTCAATTATCTTTATACACAGAAGGAGATCAATTTAGTATAAAGATTTCATCAGTTTGCACCCACACAGAACATAAAGTGTAAAATGCTGTTTCAGTACTAGTTATAGCATTACTTCACATTGGACAACACTTTAAGGGCATATCCCACATGAGAAGTAAGTGCACAGTGACTCCTGTTGTTGACTTAACAATTTGACACTCTTGTTTATGGCGTCAGTAATCTCTCCAGGCTCTAGTCATGAGTTGCCAAGGCTATGGAAGCCTTTTGAGGTCGCCGACTTCGATCTTTTTCTGACAGGGTCATAGTCAAAGTGGAAGTTCTCTCCTCCCTTCAGAGAAAGGTACCTCCTTCTTTGATGGTCCCATTCTTTCCACTGGGATCTCACTCTCAGAGATCTTTCATTTAGGTCTTCTTTTTTTTTCCCCACATTGTCTTGGCTTTCCATGCCTAAAATACTCTTATGGGCTCTTCAGCCAGATCTGAATGCCTTAAGGGCTGATTCTGAGGCCAGAGTGCTATTTAGGACATCTGCCATTCTATGAATCTGCTGTCTATCCCGCTTCCCATGATGGATCGTTCTCTCCCTTTTTGATTCTGTCAGTTAGTATTAGCAGACACTAGTGTTGTTTGTGTGAACCCTTTGACTCTTAAACCTATCAGTGTGATCAGTTGTGAACTGAAATTGATCACTTGGACTAGTGAGATGGCATTGGTACATGCCACCTTGATGGGATTGAATTGGAATCCCCTGGCACGTTTCTAACTCCACCATTTGGGGCAAGTCCGACTAGCATGTCCCAAATTGTACATCTCCTCCCTCTCTTATTCCCACTCTTATATTTAACAGGGATCACTTTTCAGTTAAAATTTAAACACCTAAGAATAATTGTGTGTTAATTACAGAATTCTAGCAATAGTACTAGAACAAAAAAAATACTAAAATGGATAAAGTGTTACATTGTACATCAACAGTCAGGACAAGAGCTGATCAAGTCATTGTTTCTCATACTGTCCATTTCACTTCAACAGGTTTCCCCTTTGGTACTCATTTAGTTGTTGCCAATCAGGGAGAACATATGATATTTGTCCCTTTGGGACTGGCTTAATTCACTCAGCATAATGTTTTCCAGATTCCTCCATCTTGTTGCAAATGACCGGATTTCGTTGTTTTTGACTGCTGTATAGTATTCTGTAGAGTACATGTCCCATAATTTCTTTATCCAGTCTACTGTTGATGGGCATTTGGGTTGGTTCCAGGTCTTAGCTATTGTGAATTGAGCTGCAATAAACATTAATGTGCAGACAGCTTGTTTGTTTGCCAATTTTATTTCCTTTGGGTAAATTCCAAGGAGAGGTATGGCTGGGTTGAATGGTAGGGTTTATTCAGGTTTCTGAGGAATCTCCAGACTGACTTCCATAGTGGCTTAAGACATAGAGCAGGCACCATTTTGGACATACATCATAAGCAGCGTGACCTCAGGGCTGCACCCACCCACAGCCAAGCAGAAAAACCTGACTCTGGAGGGGGGTGAAATAACAGGAGATTAGGACCTAGTGAATGTGTGCTGCTAATGAACTGAGACTGTGAAAAAAGAGACGGTGGGTGAGAGAACTCAGGGAGTTCATGTGAGTATTCTCTAGAGATGCTACAATTTGGTAACCTTGGCAACCCAGTGGGAGACTGCAGGAGAATTTGAGTCCACACTGAGGGCAGAACAGATTCCCTGTGTGGTCCTTGGGAAAGAGCTTCCGATCTCTGGCTCCTGTGGGTATATCATTTGCCTGCCAACTACCTCCAATTCTGCTCAGCTGTGTAGAATTACTTCCCTTTTGAATCAAAAAAGAAAGAAAGAGAGAGAGAGATTTACAATGCCTAACCTGGGAGTGTCAACTTTGGCACACCCTTAACCCTGAGGAACTAGAGCTCTCATGCCACACCCATATCAAGCCTCCAAGGCTCCATCAGAAGCAGACAGTCCACTTAATACAGTCATAGCAAAACAAGAAAAAACACCACAGTGAGGGAAGAAGAATCTAAAGAATATCTCCACAATGCCAAGAAACAAATGCAGAAACCAAGGAAACAAGAACAAGGAAGACATTATGACACCCCCAAATGAACTAGACACCCTAAGCCAAGATTAAAAAGATGATGAGATGGAAGAAATGAAAGATATAGATTTTAAAAAACTTATAAGAACAATTAGAAGTTTTCAAAAACAAATGCTTGAGCTACGGAAATCTTACTGGACAGGATAGAAAATCACTGTCATGAAAATGAAATCTTAAGGAGGAATCAAAAATGAAATGCAAAAACTAGTAGAACAGGAAAGTGTGATAGTGAAGAGAAATCAAAATGAAATGAAGAACTCAATAGATCAAAAGACAAACGCATTAGAGAGCCTTAAAAACAGAGTCAGTGAAACAGAAGAGAGAATATCGGACTTAGAAGACAGAGAACAGGAAAATATACAGTCAAACCAAAGAAAAGAAGAGGAAATTAGAAATTTAAAAAATATTGTTGGGAATCTACGGGATACTATTAAAAAACCCAACATTCGGGTTGTAGGAGTTCCTGAAGGCATGGAGAGAGAGAAAGGATTAGAGGCCATTTTAGTGAGATACTTGCAGAGAACTTCCCAGGTTTGGAGAGGACAGAGACATCTTAGTACAGGAAGCTCATAGAACCCCTAGTAAACATGACCAAGAGAGATCCTCACCACGGCACGTTGTAATCAAACTCACCACAGTGAAACATAAAAAAAGATTCTGAAATGTGAAAGAGAGAAACATCAGATTACTCTCAGAGATTCTCCAATTAGACTCACAGCAGACTTCTCATCAGAAACCCTACAGGCTAGAAGGGAATGCTGAGACATAGCACAGGTGCTAAGAGAGAAAAACTGCCAGCCTGCAAAACCTGCAAAGCTCTCATTTGTGAATAAAGGTGAAATAAAGACCTTTTATAGCAAACAGAAAT